TCTGTGTCTGCCCAAGCTTCTGTTGCTACTCTCACCATAGTAATTGCAATAGCTTCTCTGGTCACACTCCCTCTGCTGTCTGTACTACATTTTCCGGTATTGCCACCTATACATTCTGTTCTCTGACTGCTCACTCGCTGTCAGAGATGCAGGTGTGACCAGAAGTGTGTGGACTGACACAGGGAAACGCAAGCTTCAGATATGGTATAATTAAGACAATTTATTAAAGACTAACAATACAAATATAAACGCAGTGCACCAAACCCCAAGCTAACACAAATACATACAACAAGGTGAAACAAACCCAAACCTAAACTGATACAGATACACAGGTACATACACATATAGAGCACAACGTAATCAGGCAGGCCGGGTCGATAACTATCGGGCAGGTAGGTACAGGAGGAGCAGGCGGAGAGAATGGTCAGGGTCACAAGCCAGGGATAAAACAGGAGAAGTCAGCAGAGGTCAGGATCAGGCAGGGTCGGCAACAAGTCAGGTAGAAACAGGAACAGGAACAGGAATGCAGGTTACAAGGTACAGGGGCCCATGGAAAAAACACACACCAAGGCACAGACTGCAGGCCTGGCCATCCCTTAAATACACCTGCAATCAGCCCCAGGTGATGGCTAATTGCCGAAGTGAACCTCTGGTTGTTGAGAGCACCTGCTGGCCAGCCCTGGTATTGCAGCCCACAAGGCAGGTGAGTCCCACCACTATTGGCAAATCCATTCCTGACACTCGCGGTCCACGCTATGTTTTTTGAATGATTTGCTTCTAACTGTACCCACTATGTTCTCTGACAGCTTTCCCCCATACTATATTCACTAAAAATTGTTCCACCAACTCTTCAGGCTACATGCTGTGATAGGTCTCTATTCGACAGTTTACAGTATACGATATTCTGTGATAGCTATCCCCCAACTGTTTATACTACATTCTGTGATAGCGCTCCCCCAACTGTCTAAACAACATTCTGTGATAGCTCTCCCCCAACTGTCTATACGACATTCTGTGATAGCTCTCCCCCAACTGTTTATACTACATTCTGTGATAGCTCTCCCCCAACTGTCTATACGACATTCTGTGATAGATATCCCCCAACTGTCTATACTACATTCTGTGATAGCTCTCCCCCAACTGTCTATACGACATTCTGTGATAGATATCCCCCAACTGTTTATACTACATTCTGTGATAGCTATCCCCCAACTGTTTATACGATATGCTGTGATAGCTCTCCCCCTACTGTTTATACTACATTCTGTGATAGCTATCCCCCAACTGTTTATACGATATTCTGTGATAGCTATCCCCCAACTGTTTATACTACATTCTGTGATAGCTATCCCCCAACTGTTTATACGATATTCTGTGATAGCTATCCCCCAACTGTTTATACTACATTCTATGATAGCTCCCCCAACTGTTTATACTACATTCTGTGATAGCTCTCCCCAACTGTTCTGTATATGACATTATATGATAGCTCTCCCCAACTGTGTATACGACATTCTGTGATAGCTTTCCCCCAACTGTCTAAACAACAGTCTGTGATAGCTCTCCCCCCCAACTGTTGATACTACATTCTATGATAGCTATCCCCCAACTGTTTATACTACATTCTGTGATAGCTCTCCCCAACTGTTTATACTACATTCTATGATAGCTATCCCCCAACTGTTAATACTACATTCTGTGATAGCTCTCCCCAACTGTCTATATCTATGACATTCTATGATAGCTATCCCCCAACTGTTTTATACTACATTCTATGATAGCTCTCCCCAACTGTTTATACTACATTCTATGATAGCTCTCCCCAACTGTCTATATGACATTCTATGATAGCTATCCCCCAACTGTTTATACTACATTCTATGATAGCTCGTTTATATATGATAGCCCCCAACTGTTTATACTACATTCTATGATAGCTCTCCCCAACTGTCTATACTACATTCTGTGATAGCTATCCCCCAACTGTTTATACTACATTCTATGATAGCTCTCCCCAACTGTTTATACTACATTCTGTGATAGCTATCCCCCAACTGTTTATACTACATTCTATGATAGCTATCCCCCAACTGTTTATACTACATTCTATGATAGCTCTCCCCCAACTGTCTATACTACATTCTGTGATAGCTATCCCCCAACTGTTTATACTACATTCTATGATAGCTCTCCCCAACTGTTTTATACTACATTCTATGATAGCTCTCCCCAACTGTCTATACTACATTCTGTGATAGCTATCCCCCAACTGTTTATACTACATTCTGTGATAGCTATCCCCCAACTGTTTATACTACATTCTATGATAGCTCTTCCCAACTGTTTATACTACATTCTATGATAGCTCTCCCTAACTGTTTATACTATTTTCTATGATAGCTATCCCCCAACTGTTTATACTACATTCTATGATAGCTCTCCCCCAACTGTTTATACGATATTCTGTGATAGCTCTCCCCCAACTGTGTATACTACATTCTGTGATAGCTCTCCCCAATTGTTTATACTACATTCTATGATAGCTCTCCCCAATTGTTTATACTACATTCTATGATAGCTCTCCCCCAACTGTTTATACTACATTCTGTGATAGCTATCCCCCAACTGTTTATACTACATTCTATGATAGCTATCCCCCAACTGTTTATACTACATTCTGTGATAGCTCTCCCCCAACTGTTTATACTACATTCTATGATAGCTATCCCCCAACTGTTTATACTACATTCTATGATAGCTATCCCCCAACTGTTTATACTACATTCTATGATAGCTCTCCCCCCAACTGTTTATACTACATTCTGTGATAGCTATCCCCCAACTGTTTTATACTACATTCTATGATAGCTATCCCCCAACTGTTTATACTACATTCTATGATAGCTCTCCCCAACTGTTTATACTATTTTCTATGATAGCTATCCCCCAACTGTTTATACGATATTCTGTGATAGCTCTCCCCCAACTGTTTATACTACATTCTATGATAGCTATCCCCCAATTTTCTGTTTATACTACTGTTCTATGATAGCTCTCCCCCCCAACTGTTTATCTCCCCGATATTCTGTATGATAGCTCTCCCCCAACTGTTTATACTACATTCTATGATAGCTATCCCCCAACTGTTTATACTACATTCTATGATAGCTCTCCCCCAACTGTTTATACGATATTCTGTGATAGCTCTCCCCCAACTGTTTTATACTACATTCTATGATAGCTATCCCCCAACTGTTTATACTACATTCTATGATAGCTCTCCCCAACTGTTTATACTATTTTCTATGATAGCTATCCCCCAACTGTTTATACTACATTCTATGATAGCTATCCCCCAACTGTTTATACTACATTCTATGATAGCTCTCCCCCAACTGTTTATACTACATTCTATGATAGCTCTCCCCCAACTGTTTATACGATATTCTGTGATAGCTCTCCCCCCAACTGTTTTTATACTACATTCTATGATAGCTATCCCCCAACTGTTTATGCTACATTCTGTGATAGCTATCCCCCAACTGTTTATACTACATTCTATGATAGCTATCCCCCAACTGTTTATACTACATTCTATGATAGCTCTCCCCAACTGTGTATACTACATTCTGTGATAGCTATCCCCCAATTGTTTATACTACATTCTATGATAGCTCTCCCCAACTGCTTATACTACATTCTATGATAGCTCTCCCCAACTCTCCAAATTACATTTTGTGATAACTTTACCCCTAACTATCTATATTTTTCCTGTGATAGCTCTGTCCTCAACTGTCAACACTATATTCTCTGGTAGCTTGCTCTCTGACCACTCATAGTCCCTTCAAGAGCACCTCTTCCTTCCATGTCCACATAAGATTCTTTCAAAGGCCTTTCTCCATCTATCCATCCAAGAGTGGTGGTCTAGGCCTAGTCACACCAACCTTACTCAATAATACTATGTGCTGTATCCAGCACAGCATGCTCTTAGATCTCCTCTGCTTTTTAATGTACCTCAATTCCATGCTCACTTATTTTTGCATTGTCGCCATTTTTATCATTAAAATGTTATAGTTCATTCCGGAATTATAATTCTGACCACATACACAGGGCATTCTCATTAGTTCTGCAGATATATAGTGGATGATATAGTGGATGACTTGCTGAACATAAGATACAATTTGCTCATTCACCCTGCTATGCATGCACAGGACCTCATCCACCCATCTGTGCTCCTTCCACACAGATGCAAAGCTTAATCTATCTGTTTATCCTCCTTTCACACACACAGGGCCTTGTTCATCTATCCATTTTCCAACCACACACAGGCCTCATCTATCAGTGCGTACTCCTGCTATGTACACACAAGAACAAGAAATCCATACATTTTTCTCTCTGCCACATACATATGTAGGGCCTTGTTTGTCCTCCTGACACAAACATACAAGGCCTAGTCAACCTGTCTGTCTTCTTGCCACTTCCATACAGCCCCTCATCAATATGTTCATCACCCTGCTATACACACATGAGTGGCCCCCAACATTCATCCATTTTTCTGCCAGAAACACACATGCTGGGCCATGTCAATTGATACTTTCTTCTGCTATATACACTCACTGGCCTCTTTATGAGGTTCACCTGTTCAAGTGCTTGGTAACACAAATTGCTAATCAGTCAATAACATGGCAGCATCTCAATGCATTTAGGCATGTAGACGTGATGAAGGCGACTTTCTGAAGTTCAAACTGAACATCAGAATGGGGAAGAAAGGGGATTTAAATGACTTTGGACTTGGCATGGTTGTTGGTGCCAGACGGGCTGGTCTGAGTATTTAACCGCCTCCCGCCCGCCACATAAGGAAATGAGGGGCGCAAGGTGGTTCTCTTGTTCTGGGAGGACATCATATGACGTCCTCCCACTTGAACCGGGCGTGCACGGCTGCAGGGGCGTGCAATCGGTGGTGCGCTGTGTCCCTTGGATGATCAGTGTAGCCCCAGCAGTGCCACCTATCAGTGTCCATCAGTGTCAGCTGTCAGTGCTCATCCATGCCACCTGCCAGTGCCCATCAGTGCCACATCAATGCCACATATAAGTGCCTACCAGTGCACATCAATACCACATATCAGTGCCCATCTGAGCTGCATTTCAGTGCCACCTATCAGTGCCAGTCAGTGCCACCTATCAATGCCAGTCAGTGCCACCTATCAGTGCTGCCAATAAGTGCTGCCTATCAGTGTGCATCAGTGCCACCTCTCAGTGCCAGTCAGTGCCACCTATCAATGCCAGTCAGTGCCACCTATCAGTGCTGCCAATCAGTGCCGCCTATCAGTGCGCATCAGTGTCACCTATCAGTGCCAGTCAGTGCCACTTAACAGTGCCAGTCAGTGCCACCTATCAGTGCCATATATGAGTGCTGCCTTTCAGTGCCCATCAGTGATGCCTGTCAATGCCCATCAGTGCCACCTACTAGTGCCTCCTCATCAGTGCCCATCAGTGCCACCTATCAGTGCCCATCAGTGCAGCCTATTAGTGCTCATCACTACAGTCTCATTAGCGCACATCAGTGAAGTAGAAAAATCACTTATTTATAAAATTGTATAACAAAAACTAAGAAAAAAATTTTTTTTTTCAAAATGTTTCAAAGTTTTTGGTTTGTTTAATAAAAAATAAAAAAAAACCTGAGGTGATTAAATACCACCAAAAGAAAGCTCTATCTGTCTCAAAAAATTCCATATGGGTACAGTGTTGCATGACTGCGCAATTGTCATTCAAAGTGCGACAACGCTGAAAGCTGAAAATTGGCCTGGGCAGGAAGGGGGTATAAGTGCCCCGTAGGCAAGCGTTTAAAAACTGCTGACCTACTGGGATTTTCATGCACAACCATTTTTAGGGTTTACAGAGAATGGTCCAAAAAAAGAGAAAATATCCAGTGAGCGGCAGCTGTGTGGACACAAATGTCACAACATGTTGAACCTTGAAGCAGATGGGCTACAGCAGCAGAAGACCACACCGGGTGCCACTCCTGTAAGCTAAGAAGAGGAAAAGGAGGCTACAATTCACACAGGATCACCAAAACTGGATAACTGAAGATTGGGAAAGCATTGCTTAGTCTGATGAGTTTCAATTTCAGCTACAACATTCAGATGGTAAGGTCAGAATTTAGTGGAAACAACATGAAAGCATGGATCCATCCTGCCTTGTATCAACGGTTCAGGCTGGTGGTGGTGTAACGGTGTGGGGGATATTTTCTTGGCACACTTTAGGCCCCTTAGTACTAGTGGTGCACTGAAATGAAAATTCTGGTGCCAAAACCGAAAACAAAAATTAAAAATGCACTTGGGCGAAAACCGAAACTGAAATGCACAGTTTTTAAAAATTAATATATATTTTTTGGAAAAAAATGCATTTTGATTAAAAAACAAAAAAAACACAATATTTGCAAAATTTTGTTTGTAAAATATGAAAGAGGATGTTACGGCGAGTAAATAGATACCCAACATGTGACGCTTTAAAATTGAGCGCGCTCATGGAACGGTGTCAAACTTCGGTACTTAAAAATCTCCATGGGTGATGCTTTAAACATTCTACAGGTTAGCAGTGTAAAGTTACAGAGGATGTCTAGTGCGAGAATTATTGCTCTTGCTCCGATGTTTGTGACGATACCTCACGTGTGTGGTTTGAACACCATTTACATATGTGGTCATGGCCTACCTATGCATTCACCACTACGTGCGAGCACGAGGGACTGGGGCACTTTAAACTTTTTCATTTATTTAATAGTTTTTTTTTTTTGCACTATCTCTTTAAAAAAAATGTTAATCACTTTTATTCTTATCACAAGGGATGCCTGCATCCCTTGTGATAGAAATAATTAGTGACAGGTCCTCTTTATGGAGAGATATGGGCATATCCAATACAGGCAGCACACTTCTTTGTGGTAACATACAGTATGATTTTGTATACTGTAATATATCTAAGCAGATATTTTACTTACTTAATATCTTAGTTACTTTGAATACGATGCTGCTGAGCATGCAATGTTTTGTTCTTACACATATTTGCTTCTCCCTACAGAATAATCGCTGCTGTTAGCCTGCCAGTCTCCCTAATGTGTAAGTCATGCTGTAAATAAAAGCTTATTTAACAGCACAATAATATGCTTTACAGATTGATCCTGACTATAGAGCTGACAAGGTCTTGTGTAGCTGTCCTTTAAAATAAACTATATTGCAATTGTTATGCTGCTCCCTTTAAAAGAAAACTCTTCTTTGGTTCTAAATGGATCAAACACATAGTATACAGTTACCACATAAATGTTTTATACAAAATCAGAACTCTAGGTGAATAGTCAAGTAAACTGCTGAAATGCATCTAATATGAAATAAATCGTTTTGCCTGACTGGCAGAATATTTGTAATTCTGTTCAGGCATTTTGGGACTCACTACTCTACAAAGTCTGGTAGATGGCTATCAGTTTTTTTTTTTTCAGGTCTGAACATCCTATTTCACCTGCATGCAGACAATTATCAAAGTGGTTCTAGAGGCTGGGTGTTTTTTACCTTAAAGTGTTACTAAACCCAGGACCCTGCATTCACTATATCTGGTCTCCCACAGTACACACAGCATGGAAATGCAATTATTTTAGTAAATATAAACTGCTAAAAAACCTTTTTCTCATCAGCAGTTAGAGCAGTCTTGTGGCTTCTATCAGTGTTCAGCAGAGCACTGGTTAAAGTTTGTAGGAGGAGTTTTCTTTCTGCTCTAGGAGGATGAAAAACCCCTGACCTCTGTTTGGACAGTGCTGATTGGCCCTGTGCTGATCACATGCACTCTCCCAAGAAAAAAAAAAACCTCTCTAGCAGGGGCGGGCTGACAACTCATGGGGCCCCCGGGCAATAGGGGATCATGGGGCCCTGTATCCTTGCCCAAACTCAAAAAAAACCTATTAAAAAGGTACCAGGGGCATCTCATGGGGCCCCCTACTGACCCCGGGCCCTCGGGCAGTGCCCAAGTTTCCAAATGGTTAGTCCACCCCTGCTCTCTAGCAATACACACTAAACTGACTCATCCACCTCACCAACCGCTCCACCTCTGCCACCCGCCTCTGCCTATCCCTCCACAGGCTCCCTATTGCCCAACGCATCAAATTCAAACTACTCACTCTGACCTACAAAGCCATTCACAACACTGCCCCTAACTACCTCACCAACCTGATTCCCAGGTACCACCCTACCTGTACCCTTACCCTTATAAACTCGATGTAATAATAATGTAATAATAATAACTGATCATGCACAGAATGGCTATGGATTTAGTTTGTCTTATCAGGAGATAAGACATGGACATTTGAACAAGAGGAGGAGCAGAGAAGTCAGGATCAAATGGCCTTTTCACACAATGCAGAGAATTAACCACTTAGGTTCAACAGTGAGTATAACAAGCATGCTTTACTGCATATACAGACTGATTTCACTGTTGTGGGTTTAGTAACACTTTAAAGTGGTTGTAAACCCTTGCATATACCCAATAAAGTGACTTGCCTCAGGTGATACACAGAAATGAAGCAAATCTTCCTACATAAGTTGTACCTGTTTATCTACAGAATCTTTTCCTCTACTGTACATCCATTTAAAGTGCAGAATTTACACAGAATCTCCTAGCTCTGAAAAACAGGGTGCAGGGAGCTGAGGTTACATCAGTGAGAAGAGTTCTGGGAGCTGATTGGAGGAAAGTAACACACCCACCCCCTTCACAGAGCGCACAGGAACAGAACTGAGGCTGTCAATCATGGGCTGTGGCCTCCCTTGTCACCATTTTTCTCTTGGTGTCAGGAAATGTCGTCAAATGTGACTCATGGTTATAGCAGAGGAACAAGACAGCAGACAAACAGTAATAAGACAAGTAAACACTGTAGAGGGATATGCTTTGTTCATATGTCATGTCTGAGGTTTACAACTAATTTAATGCATTAAAAATATATCTTTCTCAAGCTCTATTGCCGTATCTGAGATTCAAAAGCAGGAGACCAGTGCTCTGGCTAAGGTGTTCACATCCAACAACACAAGTCTGTGGCAATAGTAGCCGGCAAGTCGAAACACTCAATGTAAATTCTTACAGTATGTAGTGACACAATACCACAACTTCACATGGTATTAATTGCTTTTAAATGATGGAAAGCTGCTTCTCTGCTAAGTGGGCTGTTAGAGTAAATTTACTGGATTTTAAAATATTTTTCTATGCTATAAGGAAGACTGTATAAGGCAAAACACGTTCACATTTTGGATACTGTGCTACTACATACTGTATGTATCCAATATCGAATTAACAATAAGAGGATTCCGAGGTGCTAGCTACCTATACTATGGACTTTAATGCATTAAGGTTTAAAACCCACTGCTATCCACCCCCCACACACTTACATGAGCCTGTCAGGGATCCAACTGTGTTCCTGGCTGCAATCTTTTTTTCCCTTCTCTTCCTCTTCTCACAGGGATTTGGCCAGCAGCAGGAGCCATTGGCTCTATTAATCAAATAATGTGAGGAGGGACTGGGGGCGGGTTAGAGCCATGCTGTGTGTGCCTATGGACTCAGGCAGCATGGCTCGGGAACAAGCCCGTAGGTAAGCCCGCATGGCAAGTGGCTTGCTATGGGGCACACAGAAAAGAAGAGGAGTCTGGAGCATCAGTGAGGGACCACACAACAGGAGGTTTGGGGCTACTCGATGGAAAACCATTGTACAGAGCTGGTAAGTATAACATGTTTGTTATTTTAATTTAAAAAATCTAAACTTTACAACCACTTTAAGCATTAATCTGAGTTTTAGAGAAAATAGAGGCAGTGTATTGTGTGGACTATGGATCCCCTGTAATGCCCTTAGGTTTATTGCACTACTAGAGCTATCTTAGCTGAGATTTCAGGGAATGGTATACTTAACCCTTTGAGGACCATAAGATTACGGAACGCCAAAAGAATCAATTTTTTGTTTTTAAAGTTTGTACACTTCAGTTGCTGTAACTAAACCATTTCATGAAATAATTGGCAAACAGCTAGATCCATTTGTTGATAAGAACTAATATTTTGACTCAAACCAAAAAAAAAAAAAGTATTTTAAGTTCTTAATCTGATGATACAGGCAATTAAAAACATGGGACAAATACGTTCCTTGGTCCTCAAAGGGTTTAACGGAGTTACATAGTTTCTTACTATACCATGTGATGTCAGTAAAGAAGTTCCCACTTAGTCCAAAACCGAGCTTGTAATATTTTCTCCTTCCTGATCCCCCACTCATGCCTTTACTATTAAGATCAACAGCACAACCATTGGTCCTTCCCCTCATGCCAAGGTGCTCGGTGTAATCCTAGACTC